ATATATATATATATATATATATATATATGATGGATTATCAGTAATATAAAGTTTATTACCTTTGGTTCGATGACTTGGTATACATGAGGAGGTGGTAAATTTTTTGTTACCAATCCTTGTTGAGCAGCTAGTATTTGAAACCATGAGCGTAACTGTATTATGGATAGAAACACATTTTATTCAATAATCTTGTTCAGTATATAAAAAATTTAAATTTTGTGAAGAGTTTGTTACAATAAAACCTTTTTTTCTTTATTTAATTAAATGATTGCACAATTAATCGAAGACAAAGTTTATATATGCTACAAATCATTTCTGAAAGTGTGTTGCTTGATTTTGCATGATTTTTTTTGTGCTTAATTTTGCAGTGTAGTGGTTTCTCTGGATGTCTGTGGATATTTTAAAAAAAAGGAAACAATGAGCATTCATGATTTTTTTTATATTGTTGAGGTATTAATTTCCATATGTTTTAATCGGTTAAAAATCATCGAAAGTAAAAATACAATAAAAAATATGTAGCGTGCTTTAATTTTTGATGAAGGATTAGCGTGTATCGTAGTGTTCTTTTTCAAATTTTAAAATTTAAGAAATAAAATCCAAACATAATATCTGGCAAAAAATATATAAATTTGTTACTGATTCTGTTTCATACTGTACATTTATAAACTGCTACCGATTCTATTAATGAAAGTGCCCTAAACTGTTTGATTCTTTCAGCTGTCTAGGTTCAATAAGACCTCAAGAGACTTTTAATACCAATAACACCATTCTCAAATCTTTCTAAATTATTAGTTAAAAAAATTTTATGATTTTTTTAATCTAGGGTCGTTTTAAAAGGACAATTCCTCTTCTTTAAAAAAATTAAGAAATTTTGTTAGTATTAAGATTTATGTTAAAGAAACTAGATAATTCTCGCCACCATAATAGATGAATAATACAACTAATGAATAACAAATTTACATTTGGATTCGAGCCAGGGTCCTTCAGGACGCTACATTTTGTAAATTTGCAAAGGTCTGCAGTGACCAAAAGTCCTGGAAGAATGCCATCCAAAATTTGTGTAATGGCCCAAGGAGTAGAGAAGTGACTGAATTCCGCCTAGCTACTGGATATGACTGCTTAAGAAACTAGTATCTTTATAGATTCAAAATTGTTCCTTCCCCGATATGCACTTTGTGCAGTTCTGAAGAGGTCATGGATTCAGCACATCTACTCCCCTGCAAGACTTTTCTCACCGAGCGATATTGGGAGGCTAGAGATATTTTAGATTAAAGAACTCTGCTTCAAAATTTTTTGTTGTACTCTGTGTTCTTTCTTTTTATTGTTTTCTTCTGTAACTGTTCATAATTTGCCATTAGAAATAAAATTAAAAGAACATTTGGAGCCGAGATTAAGGAACAAAACTATTTTAAACTAACTAAACTCGCGCGACAGCCCATAGAAGGCCAAGGCCTACTGTGCCCATCTCAGGTTTCTTAACTTTGGGTTCTGGGGTGCAGTAGCAGATGTTTCGGTTTAGTGGTCAGCCGAACGCGAAACCCCCAGTGTTTAGTTCTCAAGCATGCTTGGTACTCATTTATCGACCCACTGAAGGGATGAAAGGTTGAGTCAACATTGCCCGGCCTGAGGATCAAACCCAGGACCCGTGCCACGGGAACGCGAAACGCAACCACTCAGCCACCGTGCGTCATTTTAAACTAAAGCGAAGGTTAAACAGAATAATATCTGCTCGCTATAATTATAAAGTATAACTTTTTCCATATGAGATTTTTTCATATGTATAGAGCACTTCCAAAGGCTGCAACGAGTTAATCTTTTTTTTAAAATTAATATATATGCAGTGGTACTTATTGGTTTAGGGTCTATGCATTGGTGACTGATTTCTCAAAACTTACCAATACGAACATTGTACCCTATAATCGATATGTACGAATTATGATACGGCAATGTGCTACCAGAGAATTATCAAACTTTCATACGTAAATATCATGATATTTTTTCAATTTAATTTATTTAAATTATTTTCACATTAGCCAATATTTACGTTAACCTAAATAAAATATATCAACACTGACAATAATCGTATTCAGTACCTATATTCATGATATTATCTTTTTGATACGTTATGTTGTCGTAATTAATTTTATCACCGTCGTTGAACAGCCTACGGAATTTTTTGGGTTTACGACTACTAATGTTCAACTTCGTAGCCTTGCTATTTTGAACCTAGTGCAAAAGACAAGGGAACTCCTGGTATTGGGAGAAATTTGCCTCTGTGGAGGACTTTTCGATGGAACAAACCTGTATTTGCGTTACATGGAGAGTAAGATCACGGGAACCTCCCACGGTTAGCCTGACATTAAAAGGGCTCTAATCCATGGTCCGTCTACCACTGAGAATATTTTACGTCAGAACTGTGGTCAGTGCAAGCCGGGTGCGGATTCGGGTGCGAAACATCTGCTCTTGTACCCCTGAGACCTAGGTCAAGAAAATTGAGATGGGCACAGTAGACCTTTGCCCTCTATGGGCTGTTGTGCCACTGAGTTTATTAGCAGTTTACATATGCTATGTAATCATTAATGATAGCAATTTTATCGTATTTAATATTTTTATGTGCATTATCGGTACTCGATCACTTTTGCTACCGTATATGTTATCATTAATAATAGCAATACTTTCGTATTTAATATTTTTATGTGTATTATCTGTAGGCGGTCACTTGTTCTGCAGTATATGTTATCATTAATGATAGCAATATTATCGTATTTAATATTTTTAAATATACTATCGGTAGCCGGTCACTTGTGCTACTATATATGTTATCATTAATGATAGCAATGTTATCATATTTAATATTTTTATGTGTATTATCAGTCACTTATGCCAGTCATATTCTAGCGCTGTTTATAAGCATTGGAGAACTTGACTTCATGGTACTTGTAACCAATAAGTACCTATGCCACACTTTTTATACCAAAATACTCTTCGAATAATGAATTCTTAACAAGAAAATTGTTTCCTTTCAAGTTATATGATTCCGTTAAGGAAGATTTAGTTGGTATTAAGTATATCAGCAGTAGTGTTATGCAATGTGACAATATGTGTTAATCGAATAGAGTTATAGAAATGTTTATTTACATCTTCAGGAAAACCAGGTGGAACATGTATTTCAGAGAATCTCTTAGAATCAACTTTTTCAGGTTCATCCTAAGATTCAAAATAAACAAGATTATACCATTTGTAAGTGGAATAGGCGTTAAAAAGTTACGCGATTTCCCCACACTCCAAACTTTTCCCCACCCCATTTCCATGGTTTCGGCATATCTTCTTTTTTTCTCATTCAAGTGTATTTCAACTTTTTACTACAATTTACTGCAAAAAAAGCAAGATTTTCCAAAACTCAGAAAATGGGGAGGTGAAATGCGGGTAAATTGCGTAAACCAGAGATGTATAATTTTTCTTTTTTAAAAAGAGCATAATCAGTTTCAAAATATCTCAGACATATCTATAAAATTGTTAAAATTAAAATCTGAAGTACTTTCGCGCAGCCAGAGCCGAGGACAACAGTTAGACGAAAATAATTTGGTTAAAATATTGTTTAAATCTAAGTAAGGTGTTAGGATTGGATGAAGGGTATATATAGTTCGTTCACCAGGAGTTGGCACTTGGCTCCGCCTCCTCGGAAGCAGAGTTCATTTCAGCGCGGGGCCCCTCTTGAAATCGAGATAACCTCGAATACGTGCAAAGCCTCCACGCGGTTTTTTATAGATAGATAGTCCGATCATGGGTGAAAGCCCTTATATAGCAAGACGGAAAAGAGAAAAACCTGGTACGTAAAACATTTCATTCCAGCATTTTTTTCGAAAAAAATGAAATATCTGTAACTATCAAGATTTCTCTTATAATTCTGGCATATATATAAAACTGCTTCTTTCCCAAGATAAAGTAGATATTGTTGAAAAATTTGAAAAAAGAATAAGTAAACTCCTCCCCAAAACTAGCTATAACTGAAATGGTTTTACTACCAGCCTTTCCTCTTTTCCGTCTCGCTTTCACCCCTGA